ATGTGCATTATGATAATATAAATGAAATTGTGGACAGGCTGCGATTATTGAAATTATCAGAGATTTCAGGTAATACTAGTCACAATAACGAAGTTATAAATATAATATCAGAGCTCAGAGATAAAGGAGTTATAGAGTAACTAATATTATGGGTATAAAAGAAGATATTGCTAACGAGTTACATAAGTCGGTAAGAAAGAATTTTCCTCGACGAAAGGTAGTTGTGAAAGGGTTTGACGACCTTTGGCAGTGTGATTTAATTGATATGACAAAATATTACAAGGTCAATAAGGGATTCAAGTATATAATCACAGTAATTGACGTTTTTTCAAAATATGCTTGGTCAAGACCTCTCAAAACTAAAACCAGTAAAGAGGTTACTTTTGCAATGGAAAACATATTAAAACAGGGAAGGGTTCCAAAAAATTTACAATCCGATTTAGGAACAGAATTCTACAATTCCGAGTTTAAAAAGTTGATGGGTGATTATAAAATTAACCACTATTCTACCTACAGCATTTTAAAGTCGAGCGTGGCAGAAAGATTTAATCGCACGTTAAAAAATTTTATGTGGAAAAAATTTACAATTAATGGTACTTACAATTGGATCGACATACTAGACCAACTAATGGACTTCTACAATACAAAGAAACATTCGACTATAAAAATGAAGCCGTGTGACGTATCAAAGAAGAATGAAATGGAATTACTAAAGACCATTTATTCATATAAACAACCCAAACTACGAATGATACCTAAGTTTGAAATTAACGACTACGTCCGCATTAGCAAATATAAAGGGGAATTCGCCAAGGGATATACTCCGAATTATTCCACAGAAATATTTCGCATCACGCAAGTAGTTCCGACAGAACCCGTCACTTACAAGTTGGTAGATGCCGAGAACCAACCCATTGCCGGAGGATTCTATCAAGAAGAGCTAACTAAGGTTAAACATAAAGACGTTTACTTAGTCGAAAAGATTCTCAAGAAGAAGGATGATAAAGTGTTTGTAAAATGGCTTGGTTTTCCTTCGTCCAAAAACTCCTGGATTCAAAAAGATAATATTGTTTAACATGATATATAATAGACATTTTTTATACTGTAGTACTACTGCTTATTGTGAATAAATATATACTAAACTCAAAAACATTTCTTTTATTACATATATAAATTACAATTAAATATAGTAAAAATAAATTATCCTAATATACTTACCTTCGTCAGTCCCGAACCCGGTCCCGTGGCGTCGAAGCCCGAGACGATAACCGCTCGTCAACCTGAAACATGACCTACACAACCTACCTCGTATCGATATCAGTATAAAGACTTGCTTCAGATTGTAAACAAATAATTGGTATATAAATTAGACATCTTATCTGTTGTTTGACTCAAATGAATTGATGATGCACTCGCAGTTATCACTATCGCATGTTTTCTGCAACGTCACGATAAGCCACGATGCAAATCCATTAAGCGCTTATCTAAATACTATACAATCTGTAAATTGTTTAACTTATTTTAAAATACAACATATGTCAGTCCTAAGATTTTTTAAACAGATGAAACTAATATTTTATATATATATTTTTTTAATCACATGGTAGTTTTTAAAATATAAGTTTCGAACACAAATTCCCAAACAAAATATGTCACATATTTGTGGAAACAACCTCAACGTTAAATGATATACGAGCGCATGCCATAAAATCGCTTGCGATTCCACCATAATCGTTTTTAAATTAATCTATATAAACATATTATTTATCCATTATTCCTTACATCAGGCTAACAATTAAACACTCTATTTACTCCACGCATTTGGAAAACTATCTACACTCAACACTAATTGACAAAAGCGACAAGCGTTTGCGAGTTAATCATCACCACCTTAAAAATCAAAATGTTAATTTAAATATTTATAATACATCTTGTCACACCTGTACCCTCCACGGTGTCAGCTCTCTCGTCCGTCCACCACGACACACCACCGACACCTTTCCCGTGTGCCAGCCTCCGCGGTGCCAGCTCTCTCAACCGTCCACCCCGACACGCCGACGGAAACTTTCGACACCGTGTGCCAGCTCTCTCACCGTGCCAGCTCTCTCACCCATGTACGTTCTCCCCGTGCCAGTTCTCTCAGCCGTTTAATAACACGGTGGTGCTAGCTCTCTCATTTTTACCCTACTAGCCTCTCCTCGTCCCTGTGCATGGGATCACGCTTCCAATTTGTTTGCCTGGGCGTGGCTCATATTGTTGAGATGTAAAGAATTGCGGAGCCTATGTTAACAATCAATTCCACAAACAGAATGTTTCTATCTATTTCGGTTTTAAAAATACAGATTTGTTTTCATATTTGTGAAATTGGTGCTTTTTCACATATCGTAAAACAAATTTAGGAATACCTGCCATTTTGACTGGTTAGATACCCACCTCAGGTTTGTGTCGTTGTGTTTCTTTTGACGAATTCTTCAATTTACTCAATAGGGCTACTCAATAGGGGTTGCTATTTGAAAAAAATAAGTCACCACCTACAACCTACTCTGTTAGGGGGGGGGGGTAAAAATATTTTGTATGTAAAAATCGCGGAACCATTGTTAACTATTATTGTCAGAAACAGAATATTTCTATCTATTTCGGTTTTAAAAATACAGATTTGTTTCAAAGACTTAATTTACACACTGTATAAATATAAATTTACTATAAAATATTAAAGGAAATTAACAGTTTAAATATACACAGTATTTGTGAGTGTTAGTTTGAATAATAAAACGTCGATTTTGCAGCTACATATAGGCCTACCCAATTTAATTACATTTTTACATATTTTCTTAGGGCTCGGATTTTAATACGATGCTAAGGTTTAACTTTTTGAATAGTCTATATGTTTTGGTCAATACAATCGTTCAAAATCCGTTATCTGCTCGCAACTCTATTTTTTCCAATTACACTTCTATAACTTATTGAATCCTTTTGTAGGTAATAATTAAAAATACAATATTTAAAAAACGATCAATAGATTGAAAATATCGATTACGATTACTAAACCTATGTATATAACCAGTAAATTTGGTTAGGTTAGTTTTGAACAGTTTCATCTTATAATTGAAATATTCAGAGACTAACACTTAACTAATCGATGTGTTCTCCACTTTATATGAAGTGTGATTAAAAACCTTTTCTAAATTGCCTTTTCCTTTGCTAAATTCTAAAAATTTCATTATTTATTACCTACAAAAGGTATCAATACGTTTTGGAAGTGTAATTGAACAAATTTAATTGCCCGCATATAACGGATTCTGCCCAATCTTTATGTTAAAATATTTTTAGTTTTGAGTAGTAAAATACAACTAACATATCTTTGCTTGGAAACATTTATAATTCATCATTACTTTAAGGCAGCAACGTGGGGTGAAAAAATTGTAGAGTAACTATTTGTTTATATTTACAACGTATCATTTCCTATCACAAACCCGAGTAGGTGGATTAAAATTGTATATTGAAAACCTTGGGTGACGCGGCTGACCAATCAAAACACAGATTTATTATTTACCAGCCAATAGTGTCACAACGTCAGTGACGTCAAAGCCAGCTGTTTGGCAACAGGGATAGTTAGAAGGTTATTTATACAAATCGTTGCAAAATATTTTTGTCGATTCGGGCCATAGCTTCCTCTATACAAGGCCGCTGCTAAATAAAAAGGACAACGCTGCAGTCCCCAGCCTATTGAACGGCCGCTGCACTGGTTTAGAATGAGATTCATAATAGTGGCTGTGTTCGAAAACGTTTTTATTTCTTACTAACTATTAACATTTTACAAAAAAAACTGTTTTACCCTCCCTGATGCAACAAACTTAAGTACTTGTTAACCTAATTCTACTTAAATAGGAAATACATGTTATATTGTTAAGTAGACATTTTAGTGTAAATCCAATCAGGCAAATGGAAATTCGCTTAGTCTGCAGGACTGCGGCGGGGGTATTGTTATTTGTCATAGTCATACTACAGATGATGTGAATGTTTATTTATTATCAGCTGTCTTTTTTGTTGTTCACATTTTTTTCATAAACTATCAACAACAAGTGGGTCTACCGAATAAAGCGCAATCCTGATGGAAGTGTTGACAAATATCGGGCGAGATTGGTCATCAAAGGATGTGCGCAAGGACCTGGTATTGATTCTGCTGAAACCTTCGACACGGTTGCTCGTCTGGAGGTCGTTCGAGAAATATTGTCACAGCTGTTGGGAAGATGGTTCTTCGGCAGTTTGACGTCTCAACTGCGTTCCTGTTTGGAGACGTAGAAAAAGAGATTTTTATGAAGCAACCTGAAGGATATTCAGATGGGACAAATCGTGTTTGTAGTCTATAACGCAGCTTATACGGCCTGAAACAGGCACCTTGATAGGCTTAGGATTATCATGAAAGGCTTAGGATTTAAACAGAGAAACAATCCTCAAAACAATAAAGATTTCCCGATTTCTGATTTCTGATTTATGGATAATAATTAATAATAATACACAAGTGTTAAAATTGTAGAGCAGTCAAATTTATTTTGTTTGGATTCAACGTGTTTTGCCGGGGATGAATAATTAATCTGTTTTGATGAGTTAATTATTATTTGATTAAATTAAAATTTACCAATAATATTTAATTTTACTACGTTTAGCGTTAGAGAAAACGGTATGATCATCGAGTGTCAGAATAATATTATACATCAATGATTAGAACAAAATACGGGTTAATGACAGGAATTTGAAAGGTCCTTTAACTTAGAAAATAAATTAAATATGAGAAAGGTGTTGAAAATCACTAATTACTCGACAACTTCTCTTGTACCCTAAACAAACATTTAACCAAGAACAATATTAAAAGAAATGTCCATTCAACAGAGTCGTATAACGCAACAATACTGAAATCGTTACAAAGTCTGATCTGAATTAAATACCTCACAAATTTGTTAGAAAGACTTAGTCGCTTCTGTTGCGTGTACCATTGGTAAAATTGGTGCAATTAAATGGGTAGAATGCTATTGACATACATTAGTATGGCTTCACAGTAGATATCATACAACATGAATGTCTGTTATGCTTTCATCTTCGTTTCTTTTGTAAGTACTTATCATGATGTCAGCTTACCTTAGTTGTTGGTTGGATAGTAAGTTTTTTTTATCAATAATTACATTATTAATTCGTCCATACTACTGGTAGTAATTATTGCATAGTCTTAGTTATTAAATAATCTCTATTTAAAAAATATTTACGTTTGTTTTGTGATTTTAAAACAATGTAAATATATTTGATAATAGTAGCTTTGTTGCATTTTCTTATTTTACGTGTTTGTTCACTCTGATGGTATCTATTTTAGTTCTTTAGCTAAAATAAATTTTAGGTCAAAACTTAGATGATCCAGCATTAGGCTTCTTCTCCATTATAATTTACAATATTAATTTGAAGACATTTGGATTCTGTTTTGCCTCTGGTAGCAGGCCTTCACACAATTGATTTGATTGATTGATTTGATTTGAACCATGTTCATTCATTTATTTGTCCCTAACGATGTCCCATCATGCTATTTTGCAGATGCTATTCTGTTCATATCTTCCTGTGGTAGAAGCAGGAGGAATTCTGGAGTTGTTGGGTGGTTGGAGTGGTCTCAAATTGCATGAGTTAGGTAAGGATAAACAACATAATTTATTTACAAAAAAAAATGATAGTAATAATTTCAATACTATAATATTAATCCTTATAATTTCAGTACAGCTATCTCTCTACAGTCTAATGGACGAATTTGGCATAAAAATTGTTTATAACAAACAGATCTTTGTGCTAAAATAACTAGAGGTCATATATATTACACATGGTAGCTTGCTTAAAATTTGGTCCCCAACATCCCTTTAGTTCGTGTATTTTCAAATTGGAAATAGCAAATAGATTTAGTTCAATTTTGTGAATTTTGACCGATAACTACTTGTAAATAAACCTTTGACGATACCAATCAACTCAACTCAACATGATGACGACTCTGTGATGTGTCCACTTAATTGGTTAAATCGAACCCTTGGAGCAATATCCAACCAAGTTCAGGTCGAGGAAATATTTTATTGTAACATTTATTACTAAAATCAAACCATTAAAAGCTAGGTTCAAGCTCATTTTTTGAAATCGGGAGTTAACGTTACTTAAGAGAACAATAAGTAACGTGATGGTTTATACGTTATATTGTTTATAGTTGCAGTAGTCCTTTGGGTATTAAATTTTGAATATTTTATTTTTGAGGCTTTGCTAATACAATGCATTTTGTAATTTTGAAAGAACTTATGACTTATGAATACGGATATTTTCTGTTACGAGTAGTAAAAATCGAGGTTTCTTTCGGGACCTGGAATGTAATCCCGTTCTCAGGCAAGAATGTACTTACAACAGTACATGAACACAGATGAAGTTGGAAAAACCCAATTTAAAATCCTGGGCTTGGTTTGTGTACGTGGTTTTTTCCTCACATTGAAACGAGATCAGATTTCAGATATACCGAAACTTCGTGAAATCTTATTTTGACAACACGCGTTGGATTTTCTCATAATGATATGTTTATTTACGAAAATCTCATAAGCAAGACTTACGTATAGTAATAATAAAATATAATAATATGTAGTAATTTAAACTCAATTTATTAAGGTATTTCACATGATACTTGATACTTGTCGTGCGTGTAATTTAAATATGAACAGAGGGAGTAGATAGGGTAGAAGCTGTCTAAAAGTGAGTAGCATTAATAACATTTGTATAAAGAATTAAATTTACATGTTTTAAGTACAGTATGTTTCTTGGTTATAATGAGAGATAGTCTATTATCTCCGTAAATATAATTTGAAACACAAAAAGAATAATATGTTTAGTAACGTATATTTTAAACGAAACTTAAGAATTTGCAAATAACATTGCTTTAAATATGCACATAGTAATATTCGGTTTCGTATTTGGATTCATCTATGTTTACGTTGACAGGAATTGCCAAGCACAAGGAGCATGATGGAGGTAAGAGACGGCTTTAACAAATCTATTATAATAAACCTCTAACAGAATGTAACAATTTCATATTGATGCTATTACCATATATGGGATGTGCCTACCTAGTACCTTAATAATGCGGTTTAACCGCAGGGGGCTCACGCTTGCGTGGGTTCGTGGCTCGGGCGACCACGCGGACCCTAGCTCTCCCAGAGGGGAGGTAACTGCCCGGTGTCAGACCCGGCACTTCAGGTAGACCACAGTTATGGACGACTGGTAAGCGCCAGCCCCTTAGGGGGAGCCTCCAGTGACATTCCCTCCATTCAGGGTGGGGGGGGGTGTTTAGCTCTCAGTGACGCCGTTAATTCCGCCTCTCCTCAACCACCTGTAACTGTGGTTGTGACTGAGTCCTACCTGTTGTGTTCGACTGACATTTTGTGAGGCATATCCTCGACTTTGGAAGTAGCCTCGTCCTGGGAGGTGAAATACCTAGCCCCCAGAGGGGAGGTAAATGCTCCGTGTTGGATCGGCATTTCAAGTTGGCCACAGACATGGTCGACTGGGCATCGGGTCCCAGTGACATTCCTTTATCCAGGATGGAGGGGTGTTTAGCTCTAGGAGAGATGGAAGTACATCATAATCTCTAACCTACCTGTGTCTGTGGTACTTTGGGCTTCGGCCTGCTTGTGGTGTGCGACCAGCATTCAGTGGGCAAATCCTCGACTTTGGAAGTAACCTTTCCTGGAGGTGAAAACGGGCAAGTACCCGCAGCTCACGGGGACACTCAAGGGCAACGTAACTTTCCGCAGTGTGAGGGCAACGGTTTGTAGGTACTTATGCAAACCTATCCCTGTCTCTGAGCACGGACGGTATGGTTATCTTGAGTGTGGGGGGTTCTTCCCGGAACCTCAATTGAGTCAAGGGTGTCGCCACCTCTGGTGGATAGGTTCATCCGGGTGGGTCCCACTTCTATACCTGCCTCCTTTTGGGAAACCCTGATGGCCTGGCAGTGATGTTGGGTCTGACGGGCAAACGAAGTAGATCGGGTGCTGGGTCCGAGCCCGCCAGGGGTATCTGGGGATCTATCGCTCTGGATATCTCTGGTTCCCAGCAATGGGTCAGGCCTCGATCGGGCAGCGGTGTAAATGGGAGGTTGGGGTTCCCCCCGTCAGCGTGCTGATGGTCCCCTTCCTCCTGGCTATTGATGGCGGGTTCTGCCTGTCAGGGATGAGATAGGTCCCGAGTGTTGCTTGCACTAAATGCGTCGGGGCGCTCTACTATGGACCTCTAGGTTCCGACCTAGTGGAACCCAGGTGGAGTGACGCTTAAACAAGCAGCCGGAATCCCTGGTTAGGATTGAGGGGCAACCCTCTTTCCGAAGGGTCTGCTTCGGCAGCCGGCGAGCCTGATGACCTTAAGTCATCCGCCCATGATGTGCTAAAGGTTGATGCGTAAGCTTCGGTCTACATCATGGGGCCCGGGTATGTCCTGAAGGATAGGTACCGGGTAAGCAGTCAGGGGGCTTCGGCTCTCATGACAACAAATAATAATAATAATAATAAAGTACCTTAATAAGTAACGGACAACCCTTGTCAATCTATGGAGATTTTCTTCTCGAATATAGATGAATAAAATTACAGTAATGGCAGAACATTGTTTTATCATGAAGTTTTTGGCCCATAGTTCTGATGGCGAATCTCCGTTCTAGAACAGGCTGACAACTACTTTACAAATTTGTATACTGTATACCTGTTTTGGTAACTAGCTGAAACTGTTCTATGGTTCTGTCAACTATTTTTGTCGTATAAAATAAATTCCTTAAACAAAAAAATTACATTGTTTTGTAAAATAGTTCACAAATTTTACATTGACCTGTGGGAGATCAAATCCACATAAGGAATACTGCCAGTTCCCTATAAAATGTATCGTGAAAAATAATTACAGGTGTAGTAAGAATTGTAAAAAAATAATTTAATAATTTTGTAAATATTTAACCTGTATAAGTATTTTATTTTATTTTTCATATGCCAGCAAACCAAGTGTTCGTCGGAGCCGCTTTTGCCGTGGTGATCGAGCAAAAGAGCAAGGATATTGGCCAGTGTAAGGAAAAAATAACTATTACATCAACGGCTAAAAGACAAGAAAAGAAACTTTCCACTAAATGTGCACCTTACGGGAAGATTAGAAAAGTAAAAAGAGGAAATGATGATGCAGTGGTCGTGGGGACTCTTGACAGCGGATTTTGTGCTTTCCTACCGAATGGGGTCAAGGGGGACGAATTTTACTACCTTATGGATGGGAAATGGAAACAAGGAATATTTGGTGTAGTCAGCTCCGACGACAAAGACCTAACAGAGACTGAGATCAATGAAGCAGGACTAGTTGAGAAAATTGAGAGTGTTCTCAAACATAAAACAGAAATCAAATTAAATTAAAGTGTTCCAAGCTTCCAGGAAAACAGTACTTCTTATTTTTATCCAATTTGGTTAGGCATAACCTACATAAACAGTGCTTGGTTTCTATAATACTACAGTGAACCATAATGATTAGTTACATTTATTATTTTAGGAATTGGTAAGATAGAATATTCATTGACTAACATTTTTTGAGGAAACGACTACACAACCTACAAAACCTCTCTGTCTATATTCAATACAAGTAGAAAATTACACTTCAAGCATTTTTAGCTTGACGTTTTAATTGGCTATGAAACAACATGACCGTCCAATTAAAAGTTGGTTTTATTCAAAACACTATCTCGTGTTTCACTCAATGACTAAGTGTTCAAACAGTGAACTTGTATAACTAGTTTTAAAAATATCACTATCTAGACAATCTATGGTTGAAAATAAATATTAAATCTAATAGTTTTCTATCAATCATTCATACCCTTGTTTTACAAACTCAAATTTGGAAAATATTTTTTGTTTAAGGGAAGAAGAGTTAAAAACCTCTAGTACTTAAGATAGGTCCTTGGCTCGCCCTCCCTTATTTTACTATGAGAAGTGAAACAGCAAGAAAATAGTTGATTTACTCCGTTTAATGTTTTCTCTAAGCATCTAACAGCTTCTGAGATACCAATGGTTGCATAGTTAAGTTTTCACTCTGTATATGTATATACTGTATACATATATACATATACAGTATATATTTACATATATTTAGTAGACCTATCCATCTAGGCCTATCTACTTATGTATATGTATATATACATATACCCGCTGTTGACAGTCTTTTTAGCTGAATTTATTAATATGTTGTGACCAATTGTTTATCCTTTAGAATTAATCCCAAAGAGTTAAGTTCCAGTCATAAAATCTATCCTCACATAAGGAACAACTATAAGCCCACTGAATTTGTGACTTCAATATGGAACTCTCTCTGGAACAACCTACATAAAGTTTTAACCAAAAATACTGTTGATGTTTTATTTCCTTTCACTCATAATTAATTATACCTTAAACCAAATTTGCCAATCTCATAACCTAGTTAAACAGTATTAGATAGTCTATCTTAAAGAAGCATAAAGTAACACAACAACCTTTATTTTGTGACATGATGTTCTCTGTTACTGTCTCGGCATGCTCCTGATTTGATATTATTGTTGGTTTCTGCTGTCCCCTATTTTTAATATTTCTTTGGCTACCGATACTGCATTTAATAATTTTTACCTGAGATTATGCAGGCAGTTCTGGGAATTTAATAGCTGGTTAGCTAAAAGTAGTAGATGGTTAATTGCTGTGGCATATTATTATTAGTTTTTGAAGAGACTGTAGGAAAAGGATGCAACACATCATTGCGAAGTTAATAGTTATTTATGTAACTGGTGGGTGAAGAGGCATTTGTATGCCTACACAATGAGCTGTTCCAGCTGCGATGCAATCCCATGACAGGGCTACTACAGAAATGGAATGTAGTAGCCCTGATCCCATGGTCAATTGTAAGCCTGGCCTTCTGTGAAAAAGTGGCACTTTGCTGCACACGAGAGAAATCTTCACGCACGAGCCGTAGGCGAGTTACTGTTACTATAAAGCATATCAATAATTAGTATTTCAAACACTGCAAAACTCGTTTTTAGGTCAGGGTAAATCCAAATATTGAACGAAATGGGAAAAGCTGCACCAGCTGATCGTATAGTCGTAATATCTTTAAGTGTTGCCACGAATACTAGAAAAATACCGGTATTGATCATAAATATAAACAAATGACGTTTTTGGCCCGAATCATATACTAATAGCATTAACATATGGTTTAGACAGTTCCATTTAAACAATGTTAAATAATGTTTACTTTCGGGCCAAGAACGTCATTTGTTTAAGATTATGATCCATACCGGGTCTTTTCTAGTATTCGTGAATGTTGTCAAGTTATTTTCAAGCGTACACGTATTACGTGCCTAATAAAAACACGCTGTTTTTTGTTGTTTGGATGGAATACTGGAGTGCAGCAAAAAGAGTGCGGCAAAAGAACTAATTAATTAAGTAATTAGCAACTTCCTGTGCTATAATCAGTGCATGGAATGCCACTTTGTCAGGTGACTGTAGGAAAATTTATTATTAGTTTGTTTTTAAAATGAGTAAAAATGTAAAAATCTGGCCAGCTTTTATGATTTTATCTTGGCTAAATTCTGCTGGGAATTGGCATAGACAAAAAGAATTAAATATAGACTGTCAGCTGTGCTGCGGTTACCATGGTTACCATAGGTTCTGGCGCACACCGCTGGGAGCGCCGTGTAGTTACGGCTGACAGTCTATATATTTAATTATTTTTATCTATGGAATTGGACACAAATACTTGAACGTATCTGTGGAAATGGCTGAGTACAAAGGTGTAATTTATTTCTGTATTAACTTTTAACGAAAACTATACCCGTTTTACAAAAAATGTTACAACATATTGGCTAATATTTTTTTTTTTTTTCGTCCTAAGGACGCTAGGCACGAGCCTGGGATTGTTTTTCACATTACTTCAGGCTAGACCTAGGGGTTGCGGCATTATCACTTAGATAAAATCCATTGGTGACTTGGCGGGGATCGAACCCGGGACCTCAGGGACTGAAGTCCCGCGCTCTAACCACTACGCCAGCTCGCTCCCCCGAGCATTGGCTAACCATTGGCTAATGGTAACAGCTAACTGAAATAATGATTTAGAATAGAAGATTTCCAATGTTTATTTTGAGGATACGGTTTTTATTCAGTACACGTATTTCGGAAGAAATAGCATGAGCAATAACTCCTAAAACGTACTAAAGTGCGTACTTTAAGCACTTGTACAATATGTTTCCACTTAAAACTGATTTTATTGAAAACCGTTTGAGATAGAAGAGCACTTGAAATACAACAGTTGTAGATAATAATTTAAATCGATACTAAAGATTTTCCATCAGATTTAAGATCCAAGCATTCATTCAGCATATACAGACCCAAATATATTCTTGCCTAGTCAAATTTAACCGGAAATAGCTTTTACCCTTCTAAAACCCCCTTAAATTTAGAGTTTTGCAAAACCTCGTCTTATTGCGCATCTTCACCATACAGGGACTCCCCAAGTAAAATTTTGAGCATTGTAAGTAGTATGTTTTTAGATATAGTGATCATCTGTCATCTGAGTTTCGTTTGCCTTTTATACAGAAAAAAGATACAGGCTATTTCGTAATTTTCAACCGGCCTTTAAAGGTATTATTTCTGGGCTCATAACAAATTTAAATATGCCATTTAAATCGTCTGTTCGTCAATGGTTACTCACAGAGCCGCCATGTTATATTTTCAAACATAGGTCTTTTCTCAGTAACCATGATACTTAGAACTTTGTAATTTTGCATGAAACTTAATACCGTACCAGTGGAACTAACTTTTGGAAAGAAATATCAGTTTTATCAATGAATAAATTGGAAATGGCTACCTAAGTTCTAATTTGGTATGGAGGTGGGGTTATATGGTGTAAACATTTGGTTTCCCCCATTAGTAGGTAGCCTAGAGAAGTCAAAAACTGTCAGAAACATTAAGCTGGTTTGGATTTCTTAACGGTTTAGAAATTGCTAAGCATAAATGTTCGTTTCAAAGAGGTATTTGTCTTCGAAACATGCTATGAACACTATCGCATGGATGGTATTCACAACAGGCAATTAGCATTCAATAACTGCTGTCAGAGTTATTGTGCAATGTGTGTTAGTCCACACATGCTGCTATATGTGCTATATGTGTGCCGTACATTTGGCCTTTACTGCCCTAATAACGTGCATACACGTATTTCTGGTATCTGTAAATGTAGGACTAATGTTATTTCAGTAACAAAATAACCTCCTAAATCATTTATCTCACGGTAAAATATGAGGTTAAGGACTCTTTTTCAGGACTTTTGGAAAATAATTTTTCGATAAAACAGCAAATTGTCCTTACATTGAAAGACTTGTCGCTGGCATTACTTTTTGTCTGAGTCCATAAAATAAAGTTAAGCTAGTTAATCAAATAAAATAAATAAAATAAAATTACTTAAGCCAGTTTTCGATGAGTAGATATAATATACCGGTTTTACCCTACTTTAGGCATTTTAGAGGCTATACGGGGGCAATTTTTCTACGAGAAAAATGGAGGAGCTTTTTTGGCCACTTTTTAAAGACCCTGCTCTCGACCTATACACCCCTTTATAATTTTTTTACTTTTTTAATACTAAAAAACACGCCTGGAACATGGTGAGCTTTTTTTGGCCACTTTTTTTAAAGACCCGGCTCTTGGCCTATACAAGTCTATACAAATGTTCAATACTATTGTACAACTCCATAAACATTTAAAATCCACATTTATTCCCATGTATATTTTCAAAATCACCGACTTAACAGTGCGAGGTTTGCACAAGATCTTGGGCGTGCTCCCGCCCGCGGGCATGCTTCTGATCCCCAGCGATGACAAACTAAAAGTCTTATGAAATAATGTTTGAAACAAAAATTGAAGAACATCCAATCATCTATATTTTTCCACTGAAAGTTTTTCTCTGGCCGAAATATAAAAAAAAATCCTCGATTACTTACTTTCATGTTTACTCAGAGTAACCTTTTTGTATTTTCCTTAATTAATAATTACACACTGGCACAAATTAAATTATATTTATGTTGTATTAAACAGTAGTTCATCTAGAATTTTAATATATAAATTTCATGCTGTATATATTTTTATTAGAAGCTAAACAAATGAAGTGTAAGTGATAGGAGGCGCATCACTTTGAACATCGTCACGCCCCCGACAGTGCCGTGCTGGCAACACCTATAGTTTGAAACCATTGCTATTGCTGAAATTATATTATACAGTAACACATTTACATACAAAAGAAACTGGTAAATGGTTTTAAAATTTTAAACTTTTTAAAACTGTATTATTATGTTGAAACCCATGTAGTAGGCTGGAATTTTAGCCGTTTTGATGTATATCAAGCCTTTTTGAGATATAAGCACTTTTAAACAATAAAGCAGACCTTTATTTACTAACGCTGATATTATATTACAATACATTGGTATACCAATGAAAACGGTTTGATTTATTTGTACTCATATAAAATAATATAATTCTTTTGAGTTATTGGAACCTCTGGTGATTAAAATCACAAACACATTTTCATGATAACTGTTTGATTTATTTGTACACATTTAAAATAATGTTAAAATAGTATTTGATTTTTTTATGTTGTATTATTGTTTTTTATCAAAATTTGAAACCAATGTAGTGTGCCTAAATGTTTATTTACTGTTTTGCTGTATCTCAAGCCAATAGATAGAATATGCCGAGGAGGTGTTTTTGTTGTTTTATCTAGTGTCATCTAGGAGGAGTTTGCGTATTACGAAATGCATAAGGGTAGACGTATA